TTGAATTTTTCTTCAGTTCTTTCATTTTGAGATATGCTGAGTATGTGTTTGCATACTTTACGATAATACTTTATCTTCTCAAGTTGCCCTTTGAAATTTTCTGGTCAGCTTTTTTGCTTCATTATTTCTTCCATTTGCTTTATCTACTCTACATTCTAGAGCAAGTTTCAAAGTCTGTTATGACATTCACTTTAGTCTCATCTTTCTTCCCTTTAAATGACTTTTTGCTTTCTTCATGTATGATGTTCTTGATGTCATAGCACATCTCATCAGGTCACCAGTTATTAATGTTTGATGTGTCAAATCTGTTCCTCAGATGGTTTCCAAATTCAGCTGGGATACACGCAAGTTTGTCTTTTGACTCTCATTGATTTGTTTTCATTTTTCTTCAACTTCAGCCTCTGTGCATATAAGTAAACAATGGTCTATTCCACAGTTAATCCGGACCTTGTTTTGAATAATGATATTGAACTCCCCTATTGTCTCTTCTCACAGATACAGTTAATTTAATTCTTGGAAATTTGGTATGGAGAAATCCACATGTTTAGTCAGTTACAGTCCACATTTTTTTAATTAATGGATGTTTGCAGCTATTTCTTCTGAGTAATGTGCCACTGACAAATGAAGATCCCCAAAACTTTGCTCCATGTACATTTTAAAGTCAACTCTATTTTAAGAAGGAAGCTTTTCCTAAGCACTATTTTGAGTACCTTCCAACCTGAAGGGTTTGGTTCATCTTCTGACATTGTATCAGATAACGTTCCACTGCTATTCATATGGTTTTAAGAACTAATCCCTCGGGAGTAGATGGCCTATTTCTTTTTCCTAGTCTACTCTTAAGGAGCTCAGGTGGTGTAATGGTAATGCCTTGGCTGTGATCCTTATGGTTGGCAGTTTGAAAAACACCAACAGCTCCACAGGAGAAAGATTGGGCTTTCTACTCTTGTGAACTGTTACAGAAACCCACAGGGGGTCACTATGAGTCATCAGTGACTCCATGGCAGTGAGTTTGGTTTGGGTTGGAGTCTACTCTTAGTCCCAGAAGTCCACTGAAACCTGATGACCAGAAACCTGTTGGCATTGGAAATACTGGTGGCATTGCTTTCAGCATCACAACAGGCAAACCAAACAGGAGGACAAAGTGATACACAAACAGGGTTAATTAGCTAAGAGTTTATACATAATGTTTAGCCTTTGGGTTTAATTGAATTTCTCTACTGTGTTTGCCTTTCATTGACTTCTGCTTTCACCTTCATTAGTTTTGAATAGTTTCATTGATGTAAAATTATCTTCCATGGTTTAAGTGACTTTTAAAAAGAGCTGTATATGCATATCACAATCAGTTGTAGTGCTCCCCACCTATCCCGATTCATTATTGCTCCCTAGTTTACCCTCCACAAATCCCATCCCTGATAAACCATTGCATCAGTTATTGTCTCTATGCATCCACTGGTTCTGTGCTTCATAAACTGGAAAACCTAACAGAAACAATAATAAAACCAAAAACAAATGGAAACAAAAAGAAAAAATAATAATAAAGGAAAGATTTTTAAAATAAAGACTAGCAAAGAAAAGATAACCAGCAATATTAAAATAAGCCAGAGTGGAATCTGTTGAATTGCCTTGTCTCAATGTTGTATAGCATCAATTGAATGGTCTTCTCCCTTTTCATTCTTCTTGAAGAAGCGCCCCAGCTCATGTGAGGTCTCCTCTTTGGTGGTGATTCTTATGAAGTGTACATAAGGGGGCGGTGATATTTGGTTCATGGCCAGTTAGTAGCCTTCTACCCTTTTGTTTGCGAATTAATCTCTAAGGTTTGTTTAATTGGTGTTTCTCCTTATAGTAGTGGACTCAAACAATAACTCAACATAATAATTCCCAGATCTTTCCATGTCATGTGGTGCTTCATGCTTTCATCACTGTTTTTCAGGGAAGTGTAATATTCCATTGTGTGTATGTAGCATAGTTTCTTTATCCATTCTTCCACTGTTGGGCTTTTGGGCTGCTTCCAGTTTCTTGCTATTGTGAACTGCGCGGCTATGAACATGGGAGAGCACACATCCATCCATGTGTGTTATGTCTCATTTCTTTGGAATCTGCCTAATAGTATTGCTGGTT